TAATTTTATATTTAAAATATATAATTTTCATTGCTAATTTTTAACGTTTAATATTGCTTAATGTAAAATTGATTTTTCTGTTAAAACATTAAAACTATTTTTTTTATATATAACCCATTTCTATTCGTTAAATAAAAATGTAACAAATACGTTAGGTGTACTTTTATTTATGTTTAATTGATGGAGAGTTACTAACGAAATCAGAATAAAATTACTACTTGTTTCAAAGGAATTAACAATGCAAAATACAAATTTAAAAATTGTTTGTCCTTTTGTTATCTGTTGAGGTATTGCAATAATTTTTTTCATTATTTAAAGTTTTGATGTGACTTAATTAAACTTTATACCTTACTGTAAACTTAAGTAATGTTATATTCAAATACAACTGCCAGAAAATGCACTTCTGGATAATAAAGATCTTATAATACTCAATACAATGTTGAATATTATAAAATCTTTAGGTAGACTTAACACATTTTACTTAGGTCAAGAATTTGTTCTGAGCTGTCCCTAAGTTTAATGCGTTTGTAATAATTAAAGCTGTTAGTCATGTAAAATGTTTTGTTCCTATAATTTTCTAAATTTGTAGGACGTAGTCCATGACTTTTACAAGTCCGGAAAATGCAAAACATAAGTATCGACCGTGAGATGAAAATTAAAGTTCTGCAACAGTTAGGTTTAGAAACACCTATACACCCATTTCGTTAAATATTTTACACATTACTCAATTATCATTTATATTTATTTGTTAATTTCGACAACAAATAATTCATTCTTTTTATAAAAAAATGTGAAACCTAAAGACCGTGCTTTAAAAACTAATTTTTTAATTGATTTCTGAACAAGTGTATTTTTGTTTACCATTGGAGATAAATATTTTGTTTATGTTTATATGCTTTTACAATCGCTTCTGTTATTCATGTGACATTTGGTATTTTAAATTTTGCTCTTTATTAAAGAATACTTATAACAATGCACCACACGTTTAGATTTGCACTTTGATTAAACTAAAATACAGGAGCAAATTAGCGTAGGCAGAAGGTTAATGTTTCTTTCTTAATACATGTATTATTCTATTGGGTTTGCTAAAGGTCTCTAACAAATTAAGAAATTTAGAGCACTGCAGATCTAGTTTAGGTAGGCCCTACCCCTCGGTTAATGTGTTAAACTCATAGGTGTGGAGTTTTGTCAACTGCTATATAAACAATGCTGTCCGAAAAAAAGATCATACAATCTCACTTTCTTTTACAAGATTAACCAGAGTAAAGTGTACGGCTATTCTTGAAAATGAAGGCTATGGTAATGTTATTATCTTTCAGTATAGTTAATATATTTTAATATTTTGTTTATTAGCTTTAGTACGTAATTTAATATTACGCATTAATTAATTTAGATAACTGTTTATTTTTCAGATTTTTGCTGTAGTTGCCCTCTTTGTGGCGAGTGCATATGGAGGAGTTCTCTCTCCTGCTCCATTGGCTTTGCCGCCTCCACCTCCAGTTGCATATGCAGCTCAGCCAGCATTCGGTTTACCACCCCCACCTCCAGTAGCGTATGCAGCACACCCTGCACCACTTGCTTTACCGCCTCCGCCACCACTAGGGTATGCAGCTCATCCAGCTCTAGCTCTTCCACCCCCGCCGCCACTAGCGTATTCGGCTCATCCAGCTCCTCTAGCTCTTCCACCCCCACCACCACTAGCATATGCGGCTCATGCAGCTCCTCTGGCTCTTCCACCCCCGCCACCACTAGCTTACGCAGCTGCCCCGGCTTTTGCACTCCCCCCACCACCTTTGCCAGCAGCTAGGTCATCATCGTACTTCTACTCTGCACCAACCACTTACGCAGCTCACGCAAAAGTTTTTTAAATTTGTTAAAGCCGTTAGTTAATTAATTGTTTATTTTGACTGCATGTATAATTAAGTAAAATGTAACATAAAAAATAAAGGAAAATCAAAAATACATTTGTTGTTACATTAAACAGTATCTGTAATATGTCGAATATTACAACAAAAATAAAGGTAATTGTTTATTGCAAGGGGTCACACATCTGATGTTTTTAAAATCTTAGGGTGCTGTACAGTTCACCGTGCCGATTGAGATTATAGTCGGAATTCGAAATTGAGTGACAAGTGTTACCGTGAGACATAAGTATAAATTAAGTCATAAAAACGTCAGTTTTCGTCTAAATAGTGAATGTAACTAAAACAACAAATATCATTAACTTATTTAAATAAATAGGTATATTCTTGAAGTTTGTAACAATCTCTAAAATATAAATATGACTTGATAGTTTGTTCCACATTTGTATTTATATATTGATACCATTATCGAAATCGGCTGAAGAGGACCCTAGTTGGTCCTAAAACGGCCTAAGGTAGAGGGATTTTAGTCGATAGGTCCGAGAAGTTCTTCCTCGGGAATCCGACACTACCCAGTCGTACGGACGGCTGGGTGTCTTTTGAAGATTTCCCCTCTTTCACGAAAACATAAAAAAAATTATCGAAAGAGTATCATTTGATAATAATCTGGTTGGACACGCACCTCCACCCCACTCCACTTCTTATCCTATGATAATCTTCGCATTTCCCTAAAACTAGAACATCCCACATCCTTAACTATTTGCGAACAGTAATCTAATCTAGGTCTACCTCTACTCCTCTTAATTCCTGTTTCTGCCTCTAAAATGGCTCTGATTAGCATTGGCATGAGAAGGAATCCTACCAACCTATCTCGCCTATTTTTTATTAACTGCCACGTATTATTCTAAAGTCTCCACTCCAGAAGTCTCCAGCTTCTGACCAACTGACTTTACTAATGCCTCCTGTATCTAACTCTAGCCTTTTCATTTCATCTTTCAAATTCTCTAATTTCCCTACTTGTCTCATGTTCTAACATTCCACGCTCCGACTGGTGAAATATTACACTTTCCTCGATAAATAAGAGTTTTTTTATTTTAACTGTTTTTTACATTTGAAGTTTCAAGCGAAATTCCAAGTCAAATATCGTTATGAACGAAAGCCGCAGACGATCGATACCGCCGTCACCTATGATGTACCTTAAAGCTGTCAGCCCCTGGCCATAAATGATAAAGAGGAGTCTGGCATGACAAAAGAATTTATCAGAAGTTTTGGAAATAATCAAGAAAATATAAATAAGATCAATATATGACGACTGACTTACGAAATCGATTGTAAGATAAATAACTCTAAATGGTGTGGTTCCGTGTTACATAAATTACTTATATACGTACGTATTGAGACTACAAATACATAGGCATGTTAGAAAATTTGTTACAATTAAATTTATATTTATTGAAAATATGCATATATATAAAGTGGCTGTTTTAAGTTTTTATATTAGACAACTTCATATCAGATTTTAAATAAACTTCAACAAATAAACAATAAATATTGTGTGGCATGTTGTAATTCGGAAAATAAGGTTTTATCTACGAAAACAAACACAATGTTAATGTTAGCACAATAATTATTTCCTTATTTAGCTTCTTCAGATGAAAGAAATATAGGCACATTTTACATTGTTTTTTGTTTATTTACATACGTATTTAAAAAAAAATCTGAACAAGTTCACCAGTGAAATTTATTACATAAACTGATTTAAACATTATAAAAACAATCTACCAGACTTTCAAAGGAAGAGGAGCTGGGTGTACAATGGTTGATGATCTAGCAACAACTGCAGCTGGTGGAGCAGCAACAGCTACTGGCGGTGGAAGGGCAAGAGCGGGTGCAGCAGCGTATGCTACGGGGGGTGGTGGCGGAAGTGCAAGAGCTGGAGCAGCCGCATAAGCTACTGGAGGTGGGGGTGGCAGAGCAAGAGCTGGCGCAGCTGCATAAGCTACTGGAGGTGGGGGTGGCAGAGCAAGAGCCGGAGTAGCTGCGTATGCCACTGGTGGCGGGGGTGGTAAAGCGAGAGGTGCGGGTGCGATGAATCCTGCGTAGGTGCTCGCAATGCATCCAATAGCAACAAGAAGAATCTAGAAATGGAAAATTATTTTGTATCAACATATATCTTCAAGAAAATAGAGAAGGAAGGGAAGATGAAAGATGAAATAGCAAAGAGAAAAAATGGTTTTGTTCTAACAGCCAGATTTAGACTGGGAACAAGAAGAAAAGAAAATATGAAGGTTATGTAAATTGGAGCCAGAGACACTTGAATAGGTTTTTGTGAGATGTAGGGTGTAGAATAATAGGAAATAATACAAAAAATGGGTAATTCAAATGGAAGAAAAAGGTAATTTAAAAAGGATGAAGGAAATCTTGTAAAGAGGAAAATATACGAATGGCAGGAAGGATAAAAATATTAACATAATGTTTTAATACAGCTATTATGTATAAATCTATCTATAAAATTTAGGTATTTAACGTATTTAAGGTACAGATTTTAACAAAGAGGGATGGATTTGTCTTGAGATCGTACGTAGCTGAGTTTAGAAGGCAATTTTAACAATGGAAAAATCATAAATACAGTTTCAAAAGTTTAAAAATATTATACTTATCTAAGAAAATTTGGATGCATTTTACAATTTTGGTTAGTTTGTAATATTAATAGTTTTATTAATAACTTGTCCTATTATAATGCCAGAGGGACGAAAGTGAATTTCCTTGAATCCTTTGTTAGAACTAATGATTAAGCGAGTTAGGTATATCAATCTATTAATAAACACAAGGGGAATAAATTTTTTAATTTAGTATATTACACCCCATCGTATATGTAGTTGTACTATTGTTTTAAACTCAACAAAAATTCGTAATTTTAAATAATACTCGAATGTGTAGTGGTCTTACCATTGCGTTCATGTTGGACTACTCAGTGTTTTTTACTTAGTTCCTTAGGAGTGTAAAGCAGTAATGCTAATTTACAACTATCATTTTTTTTGAAATTGGAAGCTTTTATATCTACAGAATCTGGCCTCTGCGAGTAAGGGTGGAACTGGTAAAGCAAGTGTCCTGAATTTGGCAAATTATAATTGCATATGAGATGTCATACTTGATGAAAGTCTCTGTTTACAATACGGTAATAAAAAGAAGGTCTAACGACTAGGGTTTCCTCTTAAGGTAAAAGTTCTAAAGTTTAGCTTAAAGTTACAAATGCTACTGTAGTCTTACTGAAATTAATTATGGTAAGGGTATTGCGTATATCTTGACATTTAGCACAATTATCTAGATTACTTTTATATAATAGCTGTTACTTATCTTTTCCTTTACTTTTATGTGTCGCGCAAAAAAGCGATTTTAGCGTTCTAATTTTACTCTCTTAGAATTTGTATCGGGGCTGAAGAGGACCCTAGTTGGTCCTAAAACGGCCTAAGGTAGAGGGATTTTAGTCGATAGGTCCGAGAAGTTCTTCCTCGGGAATCCGACACTACCCAGTCGTACGGACGGCTGGGTGTCTTTTGAAGATTTCCCCTCTTTCACGAAAACATAAAAAAAATTATCGAAAGAGTATCATTTGATAATAATCTGGTTGGACACGCACCTCCACCCCACTCCACTTCTTATCCTATGATAATCTTCGCATTTCCCTAAAACTAGAACATCCCACATCCTTAACTATTTGNCTTGTTTTATTTATTTAATTAAATAAGAGATCGTGTGTATGCTTAGTACATTTATTTATGTACATTTTTATTCCGCGGAATTTTTGCTATCTGGTTACATGATCTTATACACAACCTTAATAAGTTTGGCGTTTCAACATACTCACGGGAATTACAAAGAACGATAATGCTCTTACATATTAGAAAACACATTCTCTCCTTTTTTTAAACCTGGTGGAAAAAATCACATTTGTGGTAGTAAGTCGCTTCTTAAAGCCTCAGCTTGTAAATCCATATCAACTGTCTTACCTCTCTACTCATTATCAATGAAAATGAAGTCTGCATTTCTTGTTTTTGATTTCTCATTACTTCTTTACAACTAAATGCTCTGCAGACTCAATTTCCCAATAACATATCTTATACATCAATTTATCAAAAATTTTTCCCCGTGCCCCCTTTGTTTCCACATCTGACCCTTGTTTAAAGTCCATGTATCAAGTGTTTTATTTTGCTTAAATACCGACTGAAGGTTTATTTACTCCAATGCCATTGTAAATATTTCACTTGCATTCATTTCTGACATCACTTTTCTCATATCTTCACTCCATTAGTTTCAGGGAACGCTGGGCCATCTATTGTTCATTAAAAAAACCCTTTCTTTTGCAAAATCTCTTCCCGAATGTTTGAAAATTCTCCATTTGCAGTATTTTGTGCCTTTTAGATCGTCTCTCTTTTGTTTCTCGAATTAAACCAAAAGGTAAAATATTTGAACTCATCAACTACTCCTATCTCTCGATTAAACATCATCCATATTTCTTTCATTGTTCTTCGTCCATCATTCATTTACACATATTTTCCTAATGATCTAAGCATTCTATTCAATTCCCCAGTGATGGTATTCGGAACATTATAAATTTTAATCAAATAAAAAACAGTATCTTTTTAATTTTTACATTATTAATACAAGAACTACAATTTTTCGATTGTACTAATCAAGTGGATACTAAAAAGCCACTGAGGTTTTGTACTTGATTGTAGCCAAAGTTTTTGAAGAGTCTTTTTATGTCAGTTTTATTTTGGAATTTGTCAAAGGATGAGGATGCTGTGAATGGTAGTATACATATATGACATTTAATAAGGTCCTGTAAGGATAACTATTAACTATTGTTTACAGCTATGTGTTATCTTAAAAATAATAAAAATAAAAAATAAAATTGGTCAAGTTCGAGTTGGACAGGACCTTTCATACTATGGACTACTTGGAAAAGTATCCGCTAAGAATTTTAATCATTACTGGAAATTACTTATTTCAACTTATTGAAGTTTGTTGAAAGAAATATTTACAAATATCTTGAAATTTGTTACAACTCTTAGCTGTTATATAAAAACTACCCTCAGTATGTGTCAACTAGGAGAATGAATAACAATAATTAAAAATCACAGCGAGAATTCTGTTGTGATCATCAAGGGTAAAACAATTTTGCATTAATTAAAGGAATAAAAAACTTTATCAAATTTGTGTTTATATTATTTAAGAAAATAGAATTTTTTACTTATTGGATAGTAACGTATTTATTGAGTCAATAATGTACTGCATCTAAAAACTCAGCGAGACTTAGTCTAATTATTTTGATTGATGTCATTGATTTGTACATTTAATATTTATTTCATGAATATTAATGTAGTTTGTGAGAACTTGTTATTTAAATTAGCATTAAATGATGTAGGCATGGACACTATTATTGTATAGTTAAATTTCAGATTAAAAGTACGATCTTGATTTATATTTTTAGGGGACAAGAAATAGAAGTGGGGTGGTTTAAGTTGACTTTAAAAGCCACGAAATTTTGTAAGGATATCAGTATTGTTTCATGTTTCAAATAATGAAAAAAGCAATTTGTATTTGTACAGTAAGGTATTCCACTAAATGCTAAGTCCTTGATAGATTGAGGTAGGTAATAGGTATATGTTGTTAAAGTTATGTTTAATTCTCATTCATGTTCTCATGTATGTGTTATACGAGAAAAAATTTGCAGAATTTCCAGTTTACCCGTGGAATACCAGGTAGTGGAATAGGTACTAGGTTTTGCGACGTTTCGTTGGCTTGATTTGCAAAACTCTTCAGGAAAATGTTAGGTGTGGAAATAAATTAGAAAAATCAGTAATCGTTTTTCTACAGATTTGATTGATTCTTCGTACTACTGTAGTAAATTAAAAATTATTGAAACTAGTTCTTCCCCCTATAAGTTACTGTGAGCTCGAAAATATTAGCACCATTGCTTCGAGTGGTCGAAATTCACTTTTGTGAACAATTTGCTTAAT